ATAAGATTGGACACCACTAAGCAAAATTGGGCTATACTACTCCCTCTAGAGAAAATGAGAGAGTGTTTCAGTTGCATTATTAATAGTAGTAGTAGTAGCAGAAGTAGAAGTAGAAATGGAAGTAGAAGTAGTAGTAGTAGTAGAAAAATAAGTAGAAGCAGTAGTAGTAGTAGTAGTAGTAGTAGTAGTAGTAAAGTAATAGTAATAGTAATAGTAATAGTAGTAGTTGTTGTACTAGTAGTAGTAGTACTAGTAATTGTTGTACTAGTACTAGTAGTACTAGTACTAGTAGTAGTGGTAGTAGCAATAGTAAAAGTAGTAACAGTAGTAGGGGCCTTGATAGTAGTAGCAGTAGTAGTAGTAGTAAAGTTAGTAAATAGTAGTAGTAGTGGTAAGTGTAATAGTTTAACAGAAGTAGTAGGAGGAGGAGTAATAATATCAACATTTGTGGTGGTAGTGGTAGTAGGAATGGTAGAAGTCGTAGTAGTAGAAGTACAGTAGTAGGACAGTAGTAGTAATGCAGTAGTAGTACAATAGTAGTCTAACAGTAGTATAAGAGTATTAATAATAGTAGTAGTAGTAGTAATAGTAATAAGTATTAGTATTAGTAGTAGTAGTAGCAGCAATAGTAATAGTTGTAGAGGTAGTAGTAGTAGTAGTAGTAGTTATAATGGTAGCAGTAGTAGTAGTAGTAGTAGTAGTAGTAGTAGTAGTAGTAGTAGTAGTAGTAGTAGTAGTAGTAGTAGTAGTATAGTAGTAGTAAGTAGTAGTAGTAGTAGTACAGAGAGAGAAGAGAGAGAGAGAGAGGAGAGAGAGAGAGAGAGAGAAGAGAGAGAGAGAGAGAGAAGAGAGAGAGAGGAGAGAGAGAGAGAGGAAGTGTGGGGGAGAAAGAGAGAGAGAGAGAGAGAGAGGAGAGAGAGAGGAGAGAGAGGAGAGAGAGAGAGAGCAGAGAGAGGAGAGAGAGAAGAGAGAGAGAGAGAGAAGAGAGATTTAGGAGTGTGGGTGTGGTGTGGCAGAGAAGAGAGGAGAGAGGGAGAGAGAGAAAGAGAGAGAGAGCCCAGACGCCATGAGACGAGGAGAGGGAGACGAGAGAGAGGAGAAGAGAGACGCAGCGAGAAGGAGAGAGAGTAACCGGAGATGGAGCGAGAGAGGAGAGAGAGAGCGGGAGAGAGAGAGATGAGAGAGGAGCAGAGAGAGAGAGAGAGAGAGAGACGAGAGGAGAGAGAAGAGAGAGAGAGAGAGAGAGAGGGAGAGAAGAGAGAAGGAGAGGAGCGAGAGAGAGAGGCGAGAGGGCGAGAGAGAGCGGGAACGAGAGAGAACGGAGAGCAACCAAGATCGAGAGAGCAAGAATAACAGCGCAAACGAAAGTCAAGACGACAGAGACACAAAGAGAGACGGACGCAGAAGAGAAGAAGCAGAGAAGAAATAGTGTGAGATACGGCAGAGAGAGAGATGAGAGAGCAGTTACGCAAGCAAGACGAATAGGAGAGAGACGGAGAGAGAGAGAAGAGAGGAGAGAGAGAGAGGAAGAAGAGAGAGCGAGAGAGAGAGAGAAATTCGTGGATGTGAGAAATGAGAGAGAGAGAGAGAGAGAAGGAGGAGAGAGAGAGACGAGAGAAGAGACAGAGGAGAGAGGAGAGTAGAGAGAGCAGAAGAGGAGCATGAGACCCGTTAGAGAGGAAGAGCAGTGAGTAAGGAGAAGACATTGAACCAGAGAGTGAGAAGGAAAAGTACATGAGAGGAAAGAGACAGGACAAAAGAGAGAAAGAACAGACAAAGAGAGAAAGAGAGGAGAGAGAGAGAGAGACGAGTAGAGATGAGAGAGAGAGAGGAGAGAGAAGAGAGAGAGAGGCGAGAGAGATGGAGACGAGAGAGAAGGAGAGAGAGAAGAGACGAGAGTGGCGGCAGGGAGGAAGTGGTGGGGGAGAAGAAGAAGTTGAACGGACGAGTATGAAAGAGAGTTGAAAGAGAAAGAGAGTGAGTGAGAAACGGATGAGAGACGAAATCCAGAGAATGAGAGAGAAACGAGAATGAGGAGGACAAAAAGCAGAATGAGAGAGGAATTCGAGACATGAGTAGAGAAAAGAGAATGGAGAGAAAGAGAATCTGAGTAAAAGAGGAATGAGAGAGATACAAGAGGGAAGGAAGAGAATCGCACGCACGAGAGAGAGAGAAGAGAGAGAGAGAGAGAGAGATAGAGAGGAGAGAGAGTAGAGGGGAGAGAGAGGAGAGAGAGGAGAGAGACGAGAACGGAGACAGGGAGCACCACGAGAAGAGACAGAGGACAGAGACACGACGCACACGCGCACGGAGATAGACGACACACAGTACGCGCACGCTAGAGAGAAGAGAAACGAGAAGAGAGCGCACACTGAGACAGAGAATAGAGAGACAGAGACAGAGCAGAGACAAACAAGAGAGCACGGAGAAGAGACCACCATCGACAAGAGAAAGACGAAGGATACAGGAAGAGAGAGAGAGCAGCGCAAGAGGAGGCAGAGAGAGGACGAAGGACCGCACGCAGCAGACACCAACCCGCGAGAAGCACAGAAGAGGGACACGAGAGAGAGAGAGAGCCACACCAGCGTAAATTATCACGTAAAGATCTCAAAGCTCTATTCACAGAGAGAAGACGAGTATCTGGCAGTACTTCTTGTACTGTTTCATTTGTCTACGAGAAAACACATCATCACAGTATCGTATGTGTTTGATGTAGATTTCTTATATTATACTCAGTTAGTATGATTAATTTTATCCGTAGCACACCAGACGACACTATGTCAGACAAAGAACAGAAAGAGACACAGAGAGAGAGAGAGAGAGAGCGAGAGAGAAGGAGAAACGAGAGAGAGAGAGATGAGTAAGAGAGAGAGAGAGAGGAAAGAGAGAGAGAGAGAGAAAGAGAGAGGAAAGAGAGAGAAGAGAGAGAGAGAGAGAGGAGAAAAAAGAGAAAGAGGAGAAAGAGAAAGAGGAAGAGAAAGAAAAGAGAAAGGGAAGGGGAAAGGGAAAGGGAATAGGGAAGGGAAGAGAAAGAGAATAGAGAAAGTGGATTAAGAGTACTGAGAACAAGTCAGAGATGTTAAGGTAGGGGAGAGATTGAGAGGAGAGAGTATATGTCACGGTAAATGGGTCATTTGGAGTTATCATTAGGTCTGTATAGATGTTTATGCTATTGAGTTATTGAATGCATCGTATTGCTCAGTAGTATTCGCAGTCATAGTCTACGTCATGCGATCTCTCTGCTCCAGTTCATAAGAGAGTTGTATTCATGTAGACGCAGTTAAGGAGTTTATAAGAGTTTCTCATTGTAGTTGTCGAGAAAAAATACAATATGCTCTGATGAGATGTAACGGAAAAAAAAGTGAGTAGAGAGGAAGAGTATGAGAGGCAGATCGAGAGAATGATCAGTCTCTAGAGATGAGTAGTAGAGACGATGCTAATCGAGTAGAGATAAGTGCTAATAGTAAGAGAGTTTAGTTCATGAGATCGGAGGTTTTATTTGGATTACGTATGATGAGATGATCTAGAGTATAGTTAGTTCAATGTAGTATTTGTGCATATAAAGTAGAGAACGTAGATATAATGCATTAAGTTATCTGTTGCTTTTTCTTGTCTTCTTTATAGATGATGGAGAATGTTATAGGGAGCTAGTCGTGATTCTTCATTTATCTGTAGAGAAAAGATTAGTACTCTCTGAGTAGATATGTAGAGATTTTATTATGTACGTTATGAGTCTCCTCGATGTTAGATAGTATCGAGGCAGATAAGATAGAAGAGAGTGTTAGAGAGAGATGCGTACGAGAAGATGAATGTAGTAGATGTGGTATGAGTACGAGTAGAGAATGTTGTAGTTGATGCGTGTTTGTATCGTTTGCATTCAGTGCATGTGTTTGACTGTGTGTCGTGGGTATTATGTTGGGTTTGATGTGGGCGTGTGTATCGTGTGGTCATTAGTGTCGCTTTGTGTTTATGTGTGGCATGCTTTGGTGTGTATGTTGTGCATCAGCTTGTTTTTGTATGGTTGTTTGACGTGCTTCGTGTGGTTCATTATGTCTGTAGTGGTTGCGCTTGTGTGTTTAGATTTGGTGTGCTGTGCTTTAGTTGTTTAGTATTGTGTGTTGCGTGCCTTGTGTGTATGTGTTGCGTGTCACTTTGTGTGTATGTGTGCGTGTTTTGTGGTGTGATGTTGTGTTCGTCTGTGTGTGTTGTTGCTTTTGCGTGTGTGTATTGTGTGT